CAGTTCAAATTAGAAAGCCAGCTCATTTGGGTTATCATTTATTATTGAATTTATGCAATTTTGTGTGAAATTTTCATTTTTCTCATTCTGGCATTTCCAACGTGTGAACTTGAACCCCCATGGGCCTGAAGCCTTATGCTTGTTACAAATTTTACTTACATTGGTATTACCTGTTGAGCATAATTAAAATTTGATGTTGAATTTGCAGTTAAACATAATGTACTTTTGCATCAGAATTGACAGTAGCCTATTTTGTGCATTGTTATTTTCTGCTTTTTGTCTGTACATTTGACAGCTTTGCTGCCTTGTTATGTCTTTAAACATTATGTAATATTATTTTATGCACTGTCATCATTTTTCAAATATTGAGACTTTCATCATGTGAATTTGAACTCTCATGGTCCTGAAACTGTAATCTTATTGAAGGGCCAGATTGAGACCATCTTCTGGGTCTTCTGGATGATGGTCAGGTTATTAAGTTTATATTGACTGGTATTTATTTTTTTCTGTTGGAAGACCATCAAAATGGAGGATGGATCAACATAGATACTTTGGAATACTGTCAGAAAATATCTCTGGGTCCGCTCCTGTTATTGACCATGGTACCTGTTGTGCACGATTAAAATTCAGTGTTGACTGACAGTGCTATTATAAGCATTATTTGTTATTGCATCAAAATTGACAAAATGACCTATTTTGCATCTTTATTTTCTATTTTTTGTCTGTACATTTGACAGCTTTGCTGCCTTGTTTCCTTTTTAAAATTGATTTTGAGGTTTTTCAAACAATGTTCTGGTTTTTCCCATAACACATATTCACCTTTTTTTACATTATGTTTTCAGAAATGCAAAACCTCCCCAACCATTGGAGCCCCATGCCTATGGGTCAAAGTCAGGTTTCAATACCAATAGATATGTCTACAAGGGAATACAGAAAAGTCATGACAAAGTTGATGAAAACTTCTCAAGGTTCTATTAATCAAATTTTTAAGGTAATGTGCATACCTAAGTGGACCTTCTTGAATATATAGTGTGCAACCCCTCATTTAGTTTAATTTTTCTTTGAAATATCAATTTGTTGTTCTTTTTACTATTCTAAAGATAATTTCATTGTCAGCCCTTCAAAGAGGTATTTGGTCAAATATTTATTGTGCAAGCAATGTATTACAGTGTACCTTTTGAGTGCTGAAATGTTTAGAGCACATGTTTCAAGATGAGCTGTTCTTTGTATATTAGATTGAAAGGATTCAGAACCCCACACTGTACAAGTCGTATATGGTGAAGAAAGAGGACATGGAGACACGCAACCCTGGCTTACAAAATGTGAGAGAACTTTTCCATGGAACCAGTGAGGAGACTCTACCAAGCATAAATAACACTGGTTTCAATAGAAGTTACTGTGGTAAAAATGGTAAGGATATGAAGATATTACATAGATCACTTTTTAGTTGTACGCCACATAACTTGGCACTTTGAGTGCTTCGTTGAGACAAAAAATCTGTTTTTGCAAAAATTTGTTTGGCTATGTTGATACTTACATGTATGTTTTAGCTATAATACTAATTAAATAAAATATGGGGTGGGATGGGGCCAGTTAAAAAAAAAAAACCCTGCTCTGAGTCAAAACTTAATTCATGTGCAATATATTTTGTGAGGTCTTTTGTGTACCTCTAGAAAAAAGAAGTATGATATGTTCACAGTTTAAGTTCAAAGTATGGTTCACATTTCAGCCACCATGTATGGTAGAGGGGTGTATTTCGCAACCCAGTCTGTTTATGCTGCAAGAGACCAGTATGCCAGACCAAATAGCAATGGAGAGCGTCACATCTACCTGGCTAAAGTTCTGACTGGGGACTATACAGCAGGGAACCAGTCTCTGATTGTGCCACCTCTAAAACAAGGGAGCCAGCACTTTGATTCTGTGGTTGATGATCCAAACAACCCTGGGATATTTGTGATCTTTTCCGACAATCAAGCGTATCCGGAGTATTTGATAACATTTAATTGATTTGTGNCTGACTGGAGACTATACAGCAGGGAACCAGTCTCTGATTGTGCCACCTCTAAAACAAGGGAGCCAGCACTTTGATTCTGTGGTTGATGATCCAAACAACCCTGGGATATTTGTGATCTTTTCCGACAATCAAGCGTATCCGGAGTATTTGATAACATTTAATTGATTTGTGCTTGGAAAAGTTAAGACCAGTTGGAACTGTTGGGTGAACTGATGTTCAAGTAACTGAGGAACTAAATTTTCAGTATCTGTAGAACACATTTTCATGGTTAAATATTTAATCTATTACAATGAATATGTATCACACACATAGTGGAGTAATTTCAGTCAAAATTAGTTTTCTCACATTATTTACAAATCCATTCTGTGTATAAGAGACTAATACCTCATTCACACCAGTACTTTTAACCGTGGTCAAGGCCTGACCTGGGTCCTATCACAGTTAACTTTTCTAATGTGAACGGATGACTTAGCCCTGACTGTGGTCGAAATTAACCCAGATCGAGAGGTGGGTACAATCGGAGTAAACTCCTGACCGCGGTCAAGATCAGATGTCTACATATGAAGCGCACGCGCACATGTGTATTTCATTGGAGCTCCCGCCATGTTGCACAATACTAGTAAGAGCGCATGCTTGACAGGATGCTGAGATTCTACCGCTACTGATCACTGCCGGTGTCAGTGTGAATGTGGTTTGGACACGGTATGGTTGACCGCGGTTTAATCAGAGTAAACTCGACCGCGGTTAACGTTCTAATGTGAATGGCCTATAAAACTCGAGGTTTTTACTCAATACCCAATAATAAATAAGAAATCATTATGCCAATATTCTTTGAAATGATTGTATTTAATTTTATAGAATTAGTGCGTGTATTAGATATACCATTGCTTCAATCTTGATTGTTTCTATTAACATATATATATATATATATATATATATATATATATATATATATATATATATATATACCAATGTTTTTATAATTGCCATGTATACGAAGCAGTACTTAGTTTCAAAAAAAATTATTCAATTTAATATCTTCTTTTGACATAAAATTTGATTTTCAAATTAACTCTGTGATATCTAAAGCTATGTGTGGGTTTGTGTTTCAGCATCTTAAAGTAATTATATTGTAAAACCCATCATCAAGTGATGGCATATGTGTATTAATTAATTGTAATCTGTTGTAATAATCTAGCTGGTAATTGGTACAGCAATAAATTGAATTGAAAATTGCTCTACCAGTGTAGTGTATTGTACTGTCATGGTGCAATTTATTACAAAGAAAATTACAAAGGATAATTTAAAGAAACATAGAATAAGAAACTGTATACATGTACTTACAAGTATCATGCACCAATAAAGCATCACCATTGATTATATACATTTTTCTATGCAATTTAATGCAAACCTAAGACATACAAAACAATATGCCTTCTATCTCTACACTAAAGTAAAAAAAATACAATACTCCCCCACACTGATACTCCCCCGCATCATTACTCCCCTATATGCAATATTTACATATTACCGAAATTGTTCCTCATTGATATTATTTTTAAAAAGGCCATATAAATTTGGTAAGTTGGCTACCTTATCTTGGATGAATCAATTGTATGAATATCAGATGGAAATATGGATTGGGTATTGGTGTGTTACGTTGAAAAATTTACAACTGGGAAACCCTTGATAATGTTGCTTTTATGATTTTAAGTTAGATTTGACATTCCCCTTTGAATAAATCGTATTTTTTAAAAAATACATAGAATTTAATTGTTATGCTCATTAACCATAGTTAAATTTACAAAATGAAATTCGTCTACCAACTGTATACAGTCGCTGCTTGTTAACCAACTTATCAATTTTGTTTAGCCTAAGGCTATGTAGATCTACATTACCAGAATTTTTAGGGGCTCAAAAACCGCTATTCTCTTCATTAATGTAGAGTTGTTCTGTCCTGCACCAGTGATTGTAAATGTTAGTTGAAATACAGTTATCTAACATCGTCCATCTTTGTTAATGATAGGTCTATAATTAAATCCTTTCTTTTGACTTGCTTAACCAGACTGGATGGGGCACATGTACGTAAAGGTGGTACAAGACAAAAGGTCAGTGCTATTCCTGATTTTATTTATAACGATTTCTCCACATGCTGACAATATGAACTACATGTATCAGATGTGTAATCTGTGTCAGGATGCAGGAATGCATTCAGCCATATGGACCATAGTCTGTTTGAATTCCCCATTTATTGGTTCTATGTACTGACCCCGTTACGTGGGTTAATCATGTTAGTCCCAGGATTTTAACAATATTCCACCGCTCTGAAGGATTTCTGATGTTACATTTAAGGCATTATTTTCTTGTCCTAGATTTTTATTACAAATAAAATCTAAAGACAACAAATATAATTCCTAGAACCCCCAATAATTGTAAAATCTTACATTTTCACAAAGACAAAAGGCAGTAATCGCTTAATTAGCCTAAACTGCCTTTTTTTCTATAATTCAACGAATGGAGCGGTTCCTGGAGAAAAGACTATGGTGCGTAATTTGTCTTTGGAAAAAACAGACTTAAAGTAAAATAGATAAATAAATAAATAAATAAATAAACATGGTGCGTAATCTGTAAAAGAACAAAGTGAAGTATACAGACAGTCAAAAACATCACAAAGCAAAGTTTCACACAAAGATTGACGTGAAAGACTGACTATAGATAGCCCTATTCTAAGTTACAAAGCAGACCAATTTTAGTGGGCCTATTTATTTCCTTATTTTTCCACAATATTTCGAATAAAATGTTTCACTTTTGGATTCCGAGAGGGTGGTACACTAGAAAATCGTATTACAGAAAACTTTTAAAACTAGAATTGTGTTTTGGTGTCACATTTCAAAGGGAATCTACATGTATCATACTATGCTGTGGGGGAGTATCGCTATGGGGACGTAAAGATGCGGGGATGTATCGATTCAGGAGACTATCAGTGCGGGGGATTAGCCCATACATCTACTAAAGATAAGTGCAGATATCATGTTGGTTCAAGTTGTATAATTTTGTTCGTGGTGTTATTTTTGGAAAGGGAATCACCTGCCTCCGTCAACGTCACCGGAAATGTTGTTCTCGGAGACTTTGCACTGTATATTTTGACAGCAGCCATTTTACAGGTAGTTGCAGAATTTCAAAGAAAGAAATAGTGGGTTAAAGAGCTCACAAATACAGCTGGATCATGAGTACTTTGCTTTCAGAAGTTTCTCACGTCGTTTTGGTGACAACAAATCGGCGCGTGTCTGTGTATGACTTGATAGTGCACTTTCAACAAGAAAGTGTTGGCGGTGGCGATGTTGATGTGTCGAAAACGAAAGTACTTGACGAAACCAATTTTGCTATTTATTTTGAGGATGATGCAGGTAATTATATTAAGCATCAGTTTTTATGATTCTTGGTAATTCTTTTTGTACTTTTTAATTTAAGGTTTAAATCTGGTTTTATTGACGGCACGTGATAGATATATTAGGGCACGTGATATGCCGTAGCAATAGTCCGAAGGTCCATTGGTATGAAGGTTCGGACTATCATGATATATTCAGTCCAGGGCCCCGTGATTTGGAAGCATTGCGTAAATTTGCGAAGGGCCCATTGCGAATAGCGATATCACATACTAAAAGTAAAGGCTACAATGTATTATATGACTTATATGGGGCTAGTATGAGCTAGTTATGGAATCGATCGGGACGCTTGCGCTCAGTCGCAATGCGCGACGATTTCGAGTTACAGGGCCCTGTAACCGAACGGAATTTTCCCATTGAAGTTGAAAGAAAAATCTTAACAAAGGTTTCTCAACTGAATCCTGTCTAGTTATGGGCCAATATATATAACCACCCAGCAGGCATAGTCGCGTTGGATCAACGTTGAAAACAGGTTGATACGTTGAATTGCCGTTGATCTACCTAAATTCAGCATAGAATCAACGTTGATCCAGCCACGTCAAAACACCGTCATAATGAGACGTTGACTCAACGTTGTATTTTGGTCATTGACACAACCTTGCAGACATGGATTGTAATTTAAAATATTAATTATTGAAAACGTGATACTTTTTTATCAATACTGTAACTAACTTTTTCAAAATAATAAAAAAAGTGTTTTTAAGTGAAAGTGACAGTTGTTTTGTGTCTTTAGTGAACAAGTGAATTTTTTTAAACTTGTTATTCAGAAATACCAATAAACTGAATTCCTTGCAAGGTCAGCTAACACTAGGATGAATGAGTCGCTGTAAATGTGTTGGAGTGAAGTTAACAATATTGACAGTTCTCGGTACCCTAGGCCTGTTATAGATAGACAGGCTGAGGTGACTGTGACTTTGTTATATATATATATATA